TGTGTGTGTGTGTGTGTGTGTGTGTGTGTGTGTAATTCATACAGCAGTCATCATTGTAGTATGGTTCTTCTCACATTTTAAATGTGTGCATCTCAAGTACAAGTGATCCACTCTGTACCCACTGTCTCCCATTCGAATGCTGAAAACAATTCTGGAGACTGAGGTATAGTATACACCTACATACACTGAAGCCATTTTTTTTACCTGCCAGAGGGTAGAATTTAGCGCCGAGTTTGATAACTTCACTGAAGAGAAGCTGCCAGATGTTCCAGCTACTAATGGATAGAATGTGCCCAAAGTCTGTGTGAAAACATTGCACTCTCCCCCTTCTTGCCATCCACCCATTTGTTTCATCCACTTGTTATACCTTTTTGTTAATCAAGACAGCAAGCTCTGTGGAGGTGTGACTGTCTTTGTACCCTGTCTATGTCCAGCATCTAGTGCAGTGGAATCCCAGTACCCAACTACTGGGAGTCCTGTGTACTATGTTGATGTAAGAAATGAACCATAAAATGTGTTATTAGGGCAGATGCCTATTTCTTCCCTTGTCTTAGGTGAGAGTAAACACTGCAGAGCATCTTCAGAATATTTGGGATGCATTCAATATCCTAAGTGTCCCTCTGTTGGAAAAAATACTATAATGCACCACATATCACAGAAAAAAAAACCCAAATCAAAGTGAAAAATGTTGTAGTATGACCTGCTTTCTGCTTTTATTTTTGTGGAAATCAAAGCACAAAACCTGAAAATCTGGTTGAGAAGCCAAAACCCAACAATTGTTGCTGGCATATGTAAGTAAGAACAAAACTGGAGCCTGTTGGGTTATGTGAAGGAGGGACAGACTTTCCCACTAGATAAGTTTGTCTGTTGGTCCTCTTTATGTCACGGCCTGGCCATAAGTTAATGCTGCTTGTTTCATCACTAAAGGTAGAAACAAATATCACCTTTCATCCCCTTTGTGCCGCCATAAAAAAAATTATAGTAACTCAAAGGCAAAGCAAATGGATTCCCCGGGTAGCTGGGAATGAGGCCAACCCATGTCTCCATCTGAAGCACGTGTCAGCATGGGTCCTGGTGCTGGTCCCAGTGTAGAGGCACAGGGCCATGCAGAACTTGTTGTGGAGGCACAGGACGTGGGGGATTCTGTGGGTCTTGTGCCATCCTGTGCCTCTGTGCTGCCCCACTTAGGACAACAAGAGGGCATGGGGAGCAAGGGACATAGGAGCAAAGGGAACATGTCACCTGTTATCTTGCATAGGGTCCTTGCTGTGCATTTTGCCCAATGAAGTGAATCAGCTGTGGCAGTTTATACTCTAACTACACCAGGGCTCCCTTTGGTGGTGCTGTATTGTAGTTCAAGTATGTGATGTAAATTTGTAACCAGTGGGCTCCTTTCTTCTTTCTGTTGGCCAAACCCAATTTTAGTCTGGCACAATGCCACCTTATTTCTGATGCTGTTCTTTGCAATTGCGTCATGTTTAACTGTGTTTACTTGTTGCTACTTGCTGTATGAATTTGTTCATCATCCTTTCCATTAGCCTTTCATATAAACTTCCTACTGCACAGGAAGAGACAACCCACGATGATTATTTGCTCCAGGTTTATTTTCCTTTTCTTTAATGTTTATGTTTTTTATAAACCACTAGAAAATCAATTAATTAGGCTAAACTATCACAATTGCTTCTAGTTGAACTCCCTTTTATATGGGTTGTATTTGTTACCTTTACTAGATTAATTTATTCTGTAACTATATTTGTTCAGACTGATCTGTGATGTTAATTAAATTGACCATAGGTGGGAATTTCCATGGGATTTTGTAGAAGTTATTTCTTGTTGTATTTCCTTTTAAAATTAGAGCGCTTGGCTTATAGGATACCAACACCCATGGTAAGAATAAAAATACCTAGGGCATTTAGTTGCCAGTTGCAATGTACCTTTTAAAGGCAAACTCAGGTTTTTTTAAAATAAAATTTTGGAGGAACTGCAATGCAGCAAAATATTATTTCTCACAAAGCTCTGTTATGTTATTGAGCAGAGTAACATAATGTCAGGAGATTTTTTGTGCTGTTCTGTTTAGATGAAGATGATAAGCACTTCAAATAACTAAGCAAGCAGATTCAACTAACTAAGAAAACAACTCAAATGAACAGTAGTACAATGCAGTAAACGTGGAATGAGATAACTAAAGTTTGTATCAGATAATGAAGTTAGTTTTCCAGATGTTTAGTGTGCAGCTGCTCATTCTAGTTTTAGATTAGATCAGAAATTACCTTTGTAGCAAAATTATACTTCTTTTGTAGGGTCTGTTGCTACTCTCATTGAGATCCCTACCTTCAAGATAGTTTTCCCATGATATATTCGCACTGATTTTTTTTTATCAGCTTTTTCTCTCAGATCTCTTTTCCTTTTGATTCAGTCTTTCCCCCCACCACTACTTTGTAACTAGATTATTAGTTACAAACTATACATCATTCTGTTTATGCAGTTGTCAGCATAGGTTAATTCTTTGCCCTTGTTAGAAAATCTTAACTGTATTACAAATCTAAAGCATATTGTGGTCTGGTTATTAAAATTTATCATTTGTCTGACTGTGCTTGTATTGATTGTGATCTAGTGCTGTAGAATTGTTCTGTTGTGGGAAAATCTGCACCAAATGAGTATTTTGGGGTCTGTGGGCTAGAAAAAATTCCGAGTAACCTAGAGATTCTGCTGCTTTGTTTTTAAGGTCAGTCCAGGTGGCAGCAGCTAATGAAGCCTGATCATTGCTTGGTGCAGATCTACTATCTCTGGGAGACATTACTCAGAAGCACGCAGCATTTGAGTTCAGTAGTAGCCAGGGCTGTGCTGCCAACTTTCTTTGTAAGGAAGGACATTAATGGTTAGGGTTCTAGCTTGGCCTATAAGAAACAGGACTGCAACTTTCTGTTGTGCCACAGGCTTCCTTTGTGATCAAGAACAAGTCACTTTAGTTTTACTGTGTGTGAATTCTCCATCTGAAAAATAGACATAATAGTACTTCCTTGCCAGTAAGTTTAGTATAGATATCGGTAGATATCATAGTACAGTATAACCTCATAAATCCGGTTTTCAAAATTCCAGAATTCTCAAAAATCCAGCACTTTTTAAAAATACACCACATCGGGGAGTAGCAGCAGCTGGTCCCACAGCAGTGGCCGCATGCAGAGCGACGACACGGGGTGGTGGATGGTGGCAGCGGCCGCCACATGCAAGCTTCCCCCTCCACGTCTGGGAGGGGGATGGTGGGGGGAGGCAGAGAGCAGCAGCGGCCGGTCCCCGAGCTGTGGCCACACGCTGTTTAAAAAATCTGGAACGTTCACATTTCTGGCAGGTACTAGGTCCCAAGGATGCTGGATTTATGAGGTTATACTGGAATGGGAGCCAAATGATTCCTTTAGATAGAATATGCCACTTCCTTGTGAGAAATCACCCTTTTGGGTCAGCCTGTTTGAAATAAGCACATGAGAGTTTTTCCTCTCACTGTGGACATTATATAACGAGTAAGAAAAATAAGATCTTATAACTCCTGTGCATTTCACCCAAGATAACTAACACCAGAATTGCTGAAATTTATGATGGTTTTGTTCCTGAAAAATTATAAACTGGGCTGTCAAGATGAACCTAAATACCAGGTGTGATTTTCCTTTAAGTCAGGGATGTCAGACTCACCTTGAGCCCCAGGCCAGATGTGGACCACAGGGCTTCTTGTGGGCCAGATCTAGCCCAGGGAATTGGGACAAACTGCAGTGGTGGCATTCCAGAGATGAAGAGGGTTTCAGTGATGGCACATCTGGAGGTAGCAGTGGTCTGGGGATGGGGGTCCAGAAGTAGGAGGAAGGATCCAGCAGCAGCTGGGGGCCAGAGGCTCGACGAGAGTTTGGGGCAGTTGCAGAGGAAAGCCAAGCTTGCTGCTAATGGCAATGACCAGCAGGACCAAATGGCCCCGTTCTGCAGCAGCCTATGACCCCAAGCTTTCAAGGACCTGCTGGTACTGTGACAGGCCAGATAGAGAGGCTCTAGGCTGTATGTTTGACACCCCTGCTTTACATTATATCTCTGTAATTCTTCTAGATTTGTTAAAACTGTTCTTCTTGAGAGTAAACTGCTTGATCTTTGCTTTGTAGGTGGCAGACTGTGCTTGGGATGAAACAGTGAAGATCTATACCCCGCTGTGTCTGACAGTTCCTGTATAGAGAATGCACTTCTCTCGGTGAAGGATGACTGACTGGGAAGGAACCTTCTTCTGCACCCCAGACCTCACCTCACACCAGATGTGTTGATCTTTTGCCCTTGTGTTTTTTTCAGTACAATGTCTGTTTTTAACTGAAGCTGTTTTAAATCCAAGGACGTTTGCAATGCAGGATTTGGAGATCTTTATGCCTGGTTTTACTGTCCAGGCAGTTCTTGGTGCAGTCAAATGTTCGCTATCTGTGTGGGTTATCAAAGACTGGCAGAAACAGACATTTTGCTGGGTTGCTTAGGGCAGAACTGTTCCTACATTTGCTTTGTAGAGTTTAATGGGTATTTGTGTTATCACTGAAGATGAGAACCAAAATTCCTCAGTCTTACACAGAAATTAAATGGTAATGTATTTTGAGATACTGGCACTGTTTTTGTTTTTTATGGTGGGGGTTTTTAACTGTAAATTACTGTGGCATCAACCTGAGGCTTGCATCACTCAGTTGATTTGATATTGATACGTTTTGCTATAAACTCACATTGCATTATTTTCTCATGCTATATGATGGATCCTGTTGATAGACAGTAAATGTCATACGTTATAGCAAGCTGCTTCCTTTGACCTTTGTGTTCACTGTTTCACGACGGCGGACAAGATTATTTCCATTTTTTTCCCTTCCCTTTTATCTTTACAGATAAAACTCTAGATGCCAAAAGAAAACTCTGTTCTAGAAAATGTGAAATACAGAAAAAAAGATTGCAAGTGGAAATTCTTAGAAGAGTTCCCTTTTCTTAAAAAGCTTTTTCAAACTTCATTGAGGCTTCACTTTGATATTCTAATTATTATCTTGTACATCTCTACCTGCCCTGTAAATCTCCTCAATCTGTACCTCCCTAGATTTTTCTCTTAACTTCTGCATCCCACTTTCTCATCCTTTTCCATGAAGGACCCTTTCACAGGGGTATTTCCAGTGGTCTCTTTGCAAAGACCTGACTGCTACTGAACTTAAACACTTCGTGGTCTTTGGTAGCATATGCCAGAACTGGTGAGATACGTATCATGTGATGGCCTGACACCAGAGGCTGCCAGATCGACTGGACCATTTGAAGATGTAGGGAAGGAAGGTTCAGATGACTTCATGGATTGCAGAGAATGGTGGACTGCTGGGAGAAGTAAAGGGGACTATTTTGGAAGGAGGAGCCAGGGGGCTTCTGGACAACCATGTGAAAGTATCTGAGCAATGATTAGGAGGCAGGATGAAAGATTAAATCCTCTTACACAGCCAGCTTCTTTGGATTTGGTACGATTATATTTTTTCCTAGATCAGGTGGCCTGTCCCTGTGTGCAAAGGCCTACAAGTTTAAAAAAAAATGGATTTTGTTTTATGATGGACTATTGCAGATTTGCAAATGTTTGACACTTTCATTTTGCGTGCAAAGAAATGACACAACTATAAAGCTATAATACCATGGCTCATTAAACCCAATCTTAGGCATTAAAATAGATTAACTCTAGCATTAGAAGTTCCTTCCTTTCATCTTACTTTACTACTTGGCATATAAGCAGCAAGACTGTATGGAGTTCATGAAGTTTTTGTACATGTGTATGAAGTACATGGGGTACTTATTAAGAATATATGCACTTACAGTATGTCAATTTGAATCCTATAGAAGTTAAGAGCTAGTAAGAGGATAAGAACAATTTCATATTATCTGGATGTTTGTCGTGAAGATGAAAAATACACTGTACCTAATGCCCATGCAAAGCAAAATGGATTTAAACTTTTTCTTCTTAACTGTCTCCCTTCCCCCCTCATGCACTAACTGCAATGTTGAGAGCTGCTGAATCCAGATTTTAGTCTTTTGAAAAATGAGAGAATCCAGAAGCTCAGTGCAATAAATAAATGCTGTGGCTTTTAAATTTACCTTATAATCTCTAAATGAGAAGGTTTGCTGTTATAAACATTTTGCTGTGTTGTGAAAAATGTTTCTTTGGCAGTAATTGTAGCTAATTTTTAATTCTCAGGGTACTTTTGTTACATATGAAATAAAATTGCTTTCAAGATTCACAGAACTAGCTTCTAATTCTTCATTTATCTGCACAAGTCTGTAACTACAAATGTCTCAAAAATGTAATCCAATACCCTTTTACAT